GTATAGCCAATTTCCAATGTTGTGTTAATCTCTGGTGTATAGCATAGTGATTCAGTTACACACACACACACACACACACACATATATATAGATATTCCTTTTTATTATAGGTTACTACAAGATATTAAATGTAGTTCCCTGTGCTATACAGTGGGACCTTGTTGTTTATCTCATTTAGGTATTCTTTAATTTCTTTCAGCAATGTTTTGTAGTATTCAGTATACAGTCTTTCGCCTCCTTGATTAAGTTTACTCTGAAGAAAATTATTATTCCTGAAGCTATATAAATTGAATTGTTTTCTTAATTTCCTTCTTGGATTGTTCATTGTTAGTGTATACAAATATAATTGATTTTTTGTGTGTCAAGTTTGTATCCTACAACATTGCTAAATTCAACCTTTTGTGAATTCCTACAGATTTTCTACATATCATGTCATCTGTGAACCAAGATAACTACCTCTTCTTTTCCAAATTTGGATAGCCATTATCTTTTTTTTCTTGACTGATTTCTGTGGCTAGAACTGCAGTACAGTTTTGAATAGTGGCAACAGTAGGCATCCTCATCCTTCTCCTGATCTTAGGGGAAAGATTTCAGTCTTCCACCACTGAATATGGTATTAGCTCAACTGGGTTTTTCATATATTCATACATTCCACTTCTATTTCCAGATTATTAAGTGGCTTTTTTTTTGCATTAGTTGAGATGATCGTGTGGCATTTTCCCCTCATTCTATTAATGTGCTGTATTACATTGAATAATTTTCATATGTTGAACCACACTGCTCTGAGGCTAAATCCCACTTGCTTGTGCTATATAATCCTTTTAATATGCTGGAATTTCATTTGGTAGTATTTTGTTGTGGGTTTTGCATCGATATAGGTATCGATATCTGTATCTATATATCTATATCTATATATAAGGGACATTGGCCTCTAATTTTCATGTAGGGTCTTTGTCTGGCTTTTGGTGTCAGTTAGCTAGCCTATAGAATTAGGGAGTGTTCTCTCCTCTTCATTTTTTGGGGAGAATTTGAGAAGGACTGGTTTTAATTCATCTTATATGCTTGGTGGAGTTCACAGGTGAAACCATCTGGTCTTAGATTTTTCTTTACTGGGGTGTTTTGGATTACTGATTCAATGTCCTTACTTGTTATAGAGCTAGTCTGATTTTCTATTCCTCTTGCATCAGTCAGCTTTGATAATTTGTGTGTTTATAAAAATTTACCCTTTTAATCTTTAAGGTTTTAATCTAGGTTATTCAACTCGTTGGTGGACCATTGTTCATTGGACTTAAATAATCCATTTATTTATTTCTGTAAAAGCAGTAGTAATGTCTCCACTTTTCTTTCTAATTTTGAATTTCTCTCTCATCAAGCAGGATTTGTCAATTTTGTTGATATTTTCAAAGGACCAACTTTTGATGTGACTGATTTTCCTCTAATTTATAAAACTCTAATTCATTTATCTCTGCTGTAATCTTTATTTCCTTCCTTCTGCTTGTTTGGGTTTAGTTTGCTTTTCTTTTTTTAGTTCCTGATTTGTATTTAGGTTATTGAGACTTCCTTCCTTTCTAAGTAGGAATTTACTGCTGTAAATTTCCCTCTTAGCACTGCAGCCCGTCAGTTTTGGAATGTTGTGTTTTCACTTTTATCCATCTGACGGTTTTAAAAAATCCCCCTTGTTTTTTCTTTGACCTGTTGGTTATTTAAGAGCATGTTGTTTAATTTTTGTGAATTTTATTTCTGTGAAATTTCTAGTTTTTCTTCTATTATGGTATCTAGCCTCATTCCATTGTGATCAGAAGACACTCTGTGTGATTTCAGTCTTGTAAAATTCATTAAGAATTGTTCTGCAGCCTACGTACCATGTGTCCTGGAGGGGGTTTCACGTGACTTGAGAAGACACATTCTGCTGCTTTGTGGAGTGTTCTGTTTACTTTTGTTAGGTCCATTGGTTTATAGTGTTGTTCAAGTCTTACTGATACTTACTGTACTCTTACTGATCTTCTGTCTGGCTGATCTATCCATTTTTGAAAATGGGTACTGAATTGCCTAACTATTATTGTCAAACTGTTTTTCTCCCTTCAGTTCTGTCCATTTCTGCTTCATATATTTTGGGCTCTGTTGTTAGGTGTGCACAAGTTTATCATTATTAAATCTTCTTACTGGATTGGACCCTTTATCAATATATAATGTCCTTTGTCTCTTGTAACTTTTTTGAATTAAAGTCTATTTTATCAGACAATAATACAGTCACAACAGTTCTCTTCTGGTTGCTATTTGCATGGAATATCTTTTTCTATCCTTTTATGTCCAAACTGTCTTTGTATCTGATATGAATCATTTATTGACAACATATAGATCATGGCCCCTGACCACCCACCCCCACCATCTCTGCCTTCTAACATAAGAGTTTAACCCATTTACATTTGAATTAAATACTGATAAAAAGTTACGTACTTCTGCCACATAGCTATTTGCTTTCTGGGTGTCATACGTGTTCCTCAGTTCCCCATTACTGATTTTTTTGAGGAGAGTACGTATTTGAACTTTCCTCATTCCCTGCCTCTTTTGGGTTGCTTCACATTTTTTTAATTTAAAATTTAAAATTTTCCTACCTCCTCCTTTTTGTTGTTTGTTTTGTTTTGATTTTTGGCAATAACCATATTTTTTCACATGGTTGCTCTAGGAAAAGCAATATGCTTTCTCAGCTTACCAAAGTTTACCCTGCATTATAGTCACTCCAACTCACATATAATGTAAGAATCTCTTAACTCCCATCCCTTGTGCAGTTGTCATGTATTTTACTTCTACATGTTATTTACCAAAAATACAGGTAACATATTTGCTTTAAGCAACCAATAGTCCCTTAAAAAATAAAAAATAGTTTATTAAAGAATAAAAAGTAGTATAAAATCCCATATTTACTATTTCCCAGTGCTTTTTCATTCCTTCCTATAGACCTAAATTCCTATCAGGCATCATTTTCCTTTTAGCCAGAAACGTTTACCAATTTTTATAGTCCAGGTCTACCAGCAATGTATTCTCTCAACATCCAGTTATTCTGAAATAATTTTATTTCCTTTTCATTTTTGAAGACTATTTCCCCCACATAATGCTACAATAGCTTTTTTTTTTCTTTGGGGAATTTAAATTTTTTATTCCACTGTCATCTGATCTTTTTCCCTGATAAAAAGTCAGCTATCATTCTCATTGCTGTTTCTATGTATGATGTCTCTTTCTTTGTTTTCCTGGCTACTTTTAAAAGATTTCCTGTATCTTTGGTTTTCAGTGTTTGATTATAATGTGCCTGGGTGTGTGGCCTTCTTTATATTTATCCTGCATTGGGGGGTGGGGTGGGGTGGAGCGGTGGTGGTGGTGACATAGGGTGAGGCCAGAGAACAAGAGAGAAACCAGAGTTCCACAGTTTTGTTACATCACAGTTCACACCACACAGGACCACTCAGGAGGCATGAAGGCTGGTCACTAGGAAGGAGGCAAGGGAGGAATTGTGGGCAAGAGCCTTTATTGTGGTTTCCCCAGGGAAGGATGGGTGGGGCAGGGCAAGAAGGCTTAGGACTGGCTAATTTGAATAGTTTCAGTGGGCTCTGGGGCATAAGAGCTGCCCTCGATCGTCTGGTATCTGGCCTTGGGAGATGAGAGTGAGTGTATAGTGACCCAGAGCTGAGTCCAGTAAGTGAAGTGTTAAGGTGTGGCCTGGATTGGCTGCTCAAGATAACCAAATGGCCTTTAGCCAGGGCCTCGAAAAACTAGATCAAAACAGCATTTTTAAGAAATCATATTTCAGGAGTCTCAAAGGCTCTTGGATCCATGAGTGGGTATTTTAAATCACATTTTGAAAAATTTTGGCCAATATTCCTCCAAATATTTTTCTTCTTTTAAAACTCCACTGATTTGTTAAAATGCTTGATACTGGCTTGCAGGTTATTATATCTCTATTCATTAATTTTTTTCCCAATCATTTTTTCTTCTTTGCTCCTCAATTTGGATAACTTCTATTAATCTGTCTTCAAATCCCGTGATCCTTACTTCTGCAGTGTTTAATCTTCATTTAAGCCCCTCCATGAAATTAGTTTTTAGAAAGTTCATCTCTCTCCTAAAATTCCCCATATCTTCATCCTTTGAATCTATTCATTCTTGTTGTTTCTTCAACAAATTTATATTTAAAATTCTTTAAACAAATTTGTTTTTAAATCTCTTCAGTTTATTTTAAAATTCTTATTCAGTGACTTCAGCATCTTGGTTGTCTGTGGTCCTGTTTCTTTTATTCTTTCCCTTGGTTATGAGTCATATATTTCTGTTTCTTATGTCTGATTTGTGATTGATTCCTAGGCATTCTGAATGATAGATTGTGGAGACTCGAGTCAGTCACTTTTCCCATGAAAACTGTTGAGTCTTGTTTTAGTAGGCAGTCAAGTTACTAGCAGATTACCTTCATTATTTGAAGGCTTGATTTTTGGCTTTATTAGTGTGTCGATTCTAGTCTTGCCCTTAGTCCTAGGGCGCAGACTTGCTCAAATTTAGTGGAAAGTCCCAAATATTTACCAAGCCTAAACTTCCCCTCGCCAGCACCAGACATCTACTGAAGTCTCTGCTGAACTTTTCCAGCCCTTCCAGCTGTCGTTTTCTGTTTGGGTTTCTTGGAATCCTGTCTTGTTGCCGTATAATTTAGGAGTCAGCCGAGGATTTGAGGGGAGTGTGCAAGGCAAATTCAAAGCCCTGTGGCTCCATCGTTTCTGGAATCTCCCCCTTCAACCCCCAGCGGCTCAGACAGCCCTGAACTCTGCCCGGGCTCCCCAGCCCTGTAAGACCGCCACTTGTTTTATTCCCCGTGTGCCGCAGGAGGAAGTCACTGAAATGCGATCTCATCCAACGTGCTTTTCCTCCTTCGATGTTGAGTCCCCTCCAGATTTTGCCCGTCTCTGGTCACTTTCCAGTGCATTTCAACAGGGTGTGTAATTTCTGGTTGGAGGGCTAATCTGACACGATGCTCTTGTCAATACTGGAAGCCACACTGTAATCAAATGTTTAAATGTTACTTAAAATGAAATCCAATTTCCTTTTCTTTCTTTATCTGGGTGATGGTTATACAAGTGTGTGCACCTTGAAAATCTATCAAGGTGACACGTTTGCACAGTTGTGCCTTCACGTGCTGTACATCAGTAGAAAGTTTATTATAAGAAAAAAAGCAATTTCATGTTGGTACCCAGTTTAAAAATCCCTCAGGGGCTTTCTGGTGGCCCCAGGATTGAACTCAGACCCCTTCTCCAGCACCTCTCTCCTGGCCATGACTGGCCACAGAGGTTCACCAGCAGCTCCCTGAGACACACTAGCTCTTGCTCCTCCCTCTGACCCCATCTCTCTCTTCTACATGAATAACTCCTGCTCATTCCTCAAGCTTCAGTTTAAGCATCGTCTCCTTCTAGGGGCGCTTCCTGACCACCGATGCCTGCCCCTCTCCTCCACCTCAGGTGCCCTCTGTTGTGTTCTAACAGCCACAAGGGCCCCTTTCCAACATCCACCTTGGCAAGAGCACCCATCACACTACTTCCAGTGTCCAGTGAGCACCTGAATAGCAGGAACCCCACCTTTGACCCCAAATCTAGCCCCAAAGTAGGAGCCCAAAGAGTCTGCAAAATGAACAAAGCCCGCGCCACCCTTCCTGCTACAGCTAGCACTTCTGGGGCAGGTCCCCAAAGCTGGGGACCTGGAAGAGACAATCCAGAGAGCTGCCTGCAGCTGGACCCAGCTCCACCGCCATAGGCCATTCGGATAAAGCTCTGCTTCCTGCCCAGACCTGCTGCTCCTGTCACACTAAGGGGTGGGACTCGGAGCTCTTAACGACCTGCCCTTCCTCAACATAAAAGTGAAACGACTGACCAGACAGTTTTAAAGAAGAGAAGGAAAATGTTTATTGTGTTCAGCAGACCTTGTTTTCATTACAGTACCAGGAAATTCATTCTCAGTTCATTTCAGGTGCAGAGGGCTTTGCAGGCATTCAGAGGCCCCGCGCTTGTTCCCAAGCAAGGAGCAGCATCTGGACCTGGGCTGCACTTAATGGAGGAGGATTACAGTCAAATAGAATAGGTACAAAGGGTTTTCTAAAGTACATGGTTTCTTTTAAAATTCTAATGTTTTTCTCTGTTTTTCCATGTTTACCTTATTACCAAAAATAACTGGTTGGAAATCATGGTACTTGATTATCTTTTTCTCAAATTGTTGACTTTAGGTTATTATAATTTGCTACTTTTACTTTGAAGAGGAATTATGCCCATTTCTCTGGAAATCTAAAAGGTGACAAGTAAGGCAATGCATAAGTTACAGGGGGATGAAGGCCTTAGCTCACACCCTAACCTGGGTCCTATCGCAAAATCGGCCACACCTGGCCTCTGTGTCACTAGGGCACTGGGAGAGACAGGAGATGGCCTCTGGTTTGCAAAAATCATTACCGCGGAGTTGAGACTTCTGGACTACTTCTGGGGAGCATGCAGCTGCTTACAGCCGATTTTGCGGTTTGTTTTTATAAACTGTCAGCATTCAGGGACACGCTGAGGAGGGGAGATCCTCCCCTCAGGGCACTGACTTACGCCCCCTCATTTCTGTGGTAGACTGAGAGATCAGAGACCACATAATGAAAGAGAAACCGGTATCCTCCAGATACTCTGAAATAACGACCTGAGTTAATGAAGCCTAATTTTCTTGAATTCAACCTGGTGGTCACCAAAGTCCTGATTAAGATCGTTCCTCATTATACACACATGATTTTAAATAAAAAATGTTATCCCACCAACTAGACACATAACAGTTATAATTAAGTTGATTCATCGTCCCACAAAAATATCCCCATAAAAATCAAATACTTAAAAAACAAGTTATTAAAGTTACACAATGGAGTAGTTATTTAAATAACTCTGCACACAACGCACCCTCCACTTGTTACCAAGAGAAAGACTCCACTCTGTAGTTTTACGCAAACATTTCCATTTCCATGAACCTCGATACCAGAGTACTAACCATTTCATTCAGACAAAAAAAATGCACTAAATGTTCCCTTGTAAATTGATTGAATTATTTCTCTTATTCATGGCAATTTTGGAAACAAACTGCTTTCAGGTACCCAAATTTACTCTTAGGGGAGAAGTGGGCGAAGGGGTATCATTTTATACTCACTGCTACGAGGCTGGTGTCTGACCTGTTCCAAGTTACAATGTCAGCAAAGGATGATCCCCTCTGCTTCCTCCCTATTATCCGCAAGACTGCATCCCCATCCCTAGCTGTCGGCCCTTCATCCACAGACTCTGCAACCAGATACACATGGTTCATGATATGAGGACCTGAGGACGGCAGAGTAAATTAAGCTCCATTCTTAGAAACTACGTCTTAATTTTTATAAAACCTTTGCTCGCCCCAGTGCTGAGTCCACATAATACATGGGCCTACCCGATGCGCGGGCACTTGGTAGGTGGACAAACAGCTGTCTGTTTCCATTTGAAATGCCATTTGGACAGATTCAACACTTTCTCAAGCTTATGGTAAAAATAAACACTACAAATCATTCTCAATGTGGAAGGTATTGAGTACAATTTTAAAACCAAACACAGGCATGCTCCCACAGCCCCCAGAGCAGGCTGTGTACCCCTGTTTTGACCTCAAACACCACTGTTTACAGAACATAAAAACTCCCTGCTGCATGTCATTTGGACATGTCGCATTGCTTCATATTACTCTGGCACTGATTCAGAAGAAAAATTTTCCATTACGGCATGATGAGAGAAAAACAAATCCATGAGACATAAACGATGGTTAAAAACAGTGCTCTGTGAACAGTTTCCAGGAGCTTGAATGCATCAGTGAAGTCAATTCCTGTTTCTTGGCGAAGATCTCTCCTGTCTATCTTTTCAGTCACCATTTGCTTCCACACAGTAGAGACAACAGACAAAGCCAACTGAGACCAAGTTTTCGTGGTAAAGCCACTTTCGAGGGCATCAGAGGTTCACTGTGAAACCTGCTTATGCCACATGAACCAAGAATTCCTGGAGGGAGGAGGAGGGCCCTAGGCCATTTCAGAAGAAAGCTGGGTCTTACATGTTTAGATCCAACAATCAGGAAGACTCAGGGGGGTGACAGAGAAGGGGCAATGATACACACCAGACAGAGGACAGACGCCACACTGCGCCTTCCTCACACAGGATGTGCGGGAGAGACCTGGCGGAACATGGGCCGAGGACCCAGGAACTGGCATTTAGAAAGCACATCCCAGTGACTTCCCCCCCACCGCCCAGTTCATCGCCTGCTTAAGCTCCCAGGAGATGAACTGGGGACGCGTACAATTCCGCCCCGGCTGTAGACACAAGTGGCAGCAGCAGAAGCCTCTCCGGCGGCTTAATCAAGTCTGAGATGAAGGCGGCCAAAGGTTTCCCACTGTCACTCATTCCACCCCTTCGGCTGCTCTGACCAGGTGAGTCAACAGCAACGGTGTTGAGGGGCCGTGTTAGTCTCGGATCAATTTATCGAAAAAATTTTTGGGTTCCCTCCTCCCCAGTTTTTAACGAGATTACAAAAGCAAATTCAAAAGCTCCCTCAGACAGACTGAGAGACTCCTGGGCTAACTTTTGTATGTGAATATGGAAAAAATGAATTACTTGATAGCTGTCAGAAGACTCTAGAAGGAGGGAGGGCCACGCTGCTGGGCCCTGGCCCTCACCCCTACGCGGGGTATGGACACCTGGAGGCCCCGCGGTGGGGGCCGCCCAGCACTGCCCGGTCACCGGGGAAGGCCGCTGTGGGAGGGCTGTCCTGGGCCGCTGAGGGGAAGACAGGAAGCCGCGACTGCAGGGCTAACCCTGCTTCAAGCTGCGACTCTGTGGCATCCGTCAGAATGGGCAGAGCCCTGGCCATTTCCGCAAGGCCAATGCAACCCACCACACTCGACTAAAAGGAGAACAGGACAGCGTATAGGAAAACATGGACACAACAAGACCTCTCCTGGCCTTGGATCTGGGCCTTTTGTAGAGAGAAGCCAAAGCCATGTCCCTGGGGTTTGAGAGAGAACAACCCTGCAGAGAGGGAGAGGGCACAGGATGCGGGGACCTTGCTGAGGGAGCCCTGAACCCGTCAAGATGGATCCTGGGGGGCCTGACTATGGCTTATCCAGCGAGGAAATCCACGACAGAGCTTTCTCCCAAAAGTGGGAAGAGAAAACAAAGACTGTCACAAATATAAAAATTGCTTACAAAACAATGATCTAAAAAGTTCAGTGGGGCTGGGTGGAAAAGAAGGTGGTTTTCGCTTCTGATCAGTCACAATGGGACTCAGGGTTTATAAAAGAGAACAGCCCACTCCTGGTCTCCCTCCATCGCCCCCCCCTGCACTCTGGAGCCCTCCTGCTCTTGATGCATCCCCCCCCTCACCCAACCCACCCCCACTATCCCCAGATGAGTTTGCCCCGAGCCGGCCCTGAAGACACACGATTGTTGTGGGGTTTCAATTTGATGGGGAACCTGATGCCCCGGGTGGTGCAGACCCGGGCGGTGCAGCCCTTGGGCAGAGCTCCTGAGCCCCGGCCGTGAAATGAGGTAAGGAAGGCCGCGCGCGGCCCAGGGGTGCTCTCGGCTGTGGGCACCACAGGGCTTGTCGTCGTCCTCCAGGGGCCTCTGCCACCTCCCCCTCTGGTGAGAAGACTGCTCTTCACGGCGTCGCCGAGCCCGGCCGCTTGGCTCCCTCTGAGGTGCAAATCTGGATGCAGGGCCCGCCGGCGAGCAGAAGTCACAGTCCGCGGTGGGCCCCCCGCCCGGCCGGGGCATCAGCAGTTGTATAGACAGATTGGAAAAAACTAGCATTTAATATAAAAAGTGTTTTTCAAACGGTGTCCTTTCCTATATTTCCTAGCGTCGTCTGGAGATCATAATTCTTCACGTTTCTGAAGTCCTGCGTGTGGAGAAGGAGGACCATTGAAAAGAAAAAAGAGATTATCTTCAAGTTATAAAAATACAGAT